TCCCATTCCGGGTCTGCTTTGTTTCAGCCCTTACCTTTCCAAAAACTCTGTCCTGGAGATTTTTACATTCCTTCGTGTTTATGCCACAGTCTGCATTCACTTTGCTGTATCCTCTACTTGTAGCCTTTGTCATTTTTCACCCTTTGTGAGGTGCCAACTCCAGATTTTCATTTTTTTAAGACATAATTTTAAAAGAGTAATTTTGAAATAGTTTTAATATGCACATGCTGCTGCGGGTACAACTGGAATGTAGGAGCAGAGATAGGCTGGGGATTCTTGGCACATGCTGAATTGTTAGAATCATAAGATGTAGGGTCACAAGTGGGCCATTCGGCCTGCTTCACCAATCAAAGAGATTATGGCTGATCTGATAATCTTAGAACCCCTACAATGCAGAAACAGGCCATTTGGCCCATTGAGTCTGCACCAACCCTCTGAAGAGCACCCCACCCAGACCCATGCCCCCACCCCTGCATTTTTAACCTTGTCTAACCCACCTAGCTTTCACAACCTTAGACACTTCAGGGCAATTTTCTTTTTCATGGCCAATTCACCTAACCTGCGCATCTTTGGACAGTGGGAGGAAACCGGAGCACCTGGAGGAAATCCACTCAGACATGGGGAGAGTGCGCAAACTCCACACAGACAGTTGTCTTAGGGTGGAATCAAATCCAGGTCCCTGGTACTCTGAGGCAGCAGTGCTAACCACTGAGCCACTGTGCCACCCTATACCACTTTCCCGCCTTTTGCCCATAACCCTTGGATTCCTTACTGATTAAACATCTGTCTGTCTCAGCCTTGGCACTCAGCACTTAACAACCCAGCCTCGTGTGGAAATAGTGGAGGGTGGTACAATTCCAACATTTATTTGGCTTCTGGGTAGGTATATGAAAAGCACAGGTTTAGAGGGATATATGGGCCAAATGCTGGCAAAAGGGACAAGATTATTTTAGGTTTTCTGTTCGGCATGGACGGGTTGGACTGAAGGGTCTGTTTCCTTGCTGCACAGCTCCATGACTCGATGACTGTCCTCTGTGGTGCGAAATTCCACAGGTTCACAACCTTCCGAGAGAAGAAATTCCTCCTCATCTCAGTCTTAAATGTGTGAGCCCTTATTCTGAGACGACGTCCTCTGTTGCTGGAGTCTCTGGACAGTAAGTTAGAGCTACAGTTAGGATTTGCCAACTTTCTTACCCCAAATTGAGACCACCTGGATTGACAGGTTGTGGCAGGAACACCACAATCTGACTGGCCGTCATTTATCTCCTTAACTCGCGCATGGTTCCCTTTTGAGTTTGTGTTCTTTTTCACCACTGAATGCTCCAACAGAGTTCTCCTAACATATTATTCAATACCGGTACCTGTAATTAGGACTGAGTACAGGAATTGGGAAGTCATGTCACAGCTGTACAAGACATTGGTAAGCCGCATTTGGAGTACTGCATACACATCTGGTCACCCTACTATAGGAAAGATGTTATTAAACTAATTAAAAAGACTGACAAGGATGTTACCAAGACTGGAAGGTTTGAGTTATAACGAAAGACTGGATAGGCTGGAACATTGAAGGCTGAGGGGTAGACCTTTTGGAAGTTTATCAAATCATGAAGTGAGTAGCTAAGGTCTTTTCCTTAGGGTAGGGGAGTAAAAACTAGAGGGTATGGGTTTAAAGTGAGAGGGGAAAGATTTAAAAGGGACCTGAAGGGCAAATTTTTCACACAACGACCGGTGCATATATGGAACGTGCTGCCAGAGGAAGTGACGGAGGTGGGTACAATTATAACATTTAAAAGACATTTGGACAGGAACATGAAAAGGAAAGGTTTAGAGGGATACGGGCCAAATGCAGGCAAATGGGACTCGTTCAGATTGGGAAACCCAGTCAGCATAGACGAGTTGGACCAAAGGGTCTGTTTTCATGCTGCATAATTCTATGACCCTGTTAAACGGATGTTGCCTAGCTGTGAAATATTGTCGCTCTGTGGGGCTGAGTAAGGATTTTGCTGCCCATTGGAGGGCTGCTGGAAAATAAAAGTGACATATATCTGTGGGCATGGGGTAAAGTAGGGACAAGAGGCTTTGGCTGCTTTTCTGTAAAAAGTGATGCACAAAATGGATGAGGCACCAGTTTTCACATTGTGCTGCTGATTGTCTTACATCCCAGTGAGTTCTGTGCGTGCCTTAATGCTGCTGGATTACATCAGAATGCACAGCATCACCCTGATAATCTTCTCTCTGCTGTTTCAGAGGAAGCATTAACCCATTTATGTCAAATCATATAGAACAAAGAACTGCAGAGGCTAGAAATCTGAAACAGAGAGAAACAGAAGTTGCTGGAGAAACTCAGCAGGTCTGGCAGCATCGTGGAGAGGAAAACAGAGATAATGTTCCAGTCTTGTGACCCTTTCTTCAACAATTAAAGCAGCAAGGAAAAGGTGGTATTTAAGATGATGACAACGGTTGCAGGGGGTAAAATAAATGAGCGTGTAAGTGGAGATGGAGCCCAGAGAAGGAGATAAATGGTTAGGCAAACAAAGGGATTGTTGATAGTCAGCCAGGGAAGGATAGAGGGGTGATAATGAGGACTATGAGGAGTTGAACATAGGTTGGCTATACCGAAGGCAACATATTCATGACAGGGCCTGGGGCTTGGGGCTAGGTTATTGACAAGAAATGGGGCATTCATTTTCTGAAATTGTTGAACTCAATGTTGAGCGCTGAAGGCTGTCAGGTTCCTCAGCAGAAGATGAGGTTTTGTTTCTCGAGCTTGCCTTGAAATTGCGCTGAAACACTCCAACAAGCCTGATACAGTCAGATTTATTAGAGGCTGTTTTGAAGAATTACACAGCATCATTTCAGGGCCATAATTAACATTAAAGAAATCGGGAAAAGTCAGAAAGACCTTCCTGTTAACTGTGGTGGGGGATGGTAGACCACCAATCAGTCTGGGTGCACTGTACAGAATGGCGGAGCTGATGTGATTCTTAATAAAGGCCAGAACATTATGTCATTTAAATTAAAATGTTTGACTCTCCTGCTGAAATGTAGGTGATGTTTCTTTCAGGCAACACCATCCAACTGATGTTGAAAACACTGTTTGGATGTCATTAATTCAAAGATCAATTGCTATTTGGCTGCATATACTGAGTTTCTCTTTGCTTTCCGCTTTCTGACTTGGTTTCTGTGTATTGTTTTATAGAAAGACAAAAGAAAGAAAATGTCTATATTAATTTTGGAGCAGCCGAAATATGGTGACAGATTTCTGTCTCAATTTTATATAAATAATTCTGTATAAAATTTATGATAGAAGATGTGACAGCTCAACGTTCACACTTGCAGTTCTGCTTGGCTGTGACACTATTAGGTGGCGCTGTGACAGGAGTTTCAATGTTAAATGTAGCGTCCAGCCTGTCACACCAAACTCAGTGGTAAATGGTCAGTGCTGTGGAAGGGTTTTAAATCTGAATTTATTTTGTATGCTTTATAATTAAAATTTTCTGCATATTTTTCCTCTGCTTTCAATAGATTTATACAAAATGTGTTCTTTCTGTATGTTGTTCACTCTCTGTTAGTGGTAGAAGGAATGGATGTTCATGGACGTGGTATCAATCAAGCGGGCTGCTTTGTCCTGGAGGGTTTCAAGCTTCTTGAGTCTTGTCAGAGCTGCACCCATCCAGGCGAGTGGGGAATATTCCATCCCAATCCTAACTTGTACCTTGTAGATGATGGAAAGGCTTTGGGGAGTCAGGAGGTAAGTAACTCATTGCAGTATTCCTAGCATCTGATCTGCTCTTGTAGCCACTGTATTTATATGGCTAGTTCAAATCAGTTTCTGGTCGATGGTAACTCCTAGGATGTTAATAGTGTGATATTCAGTGATGGTAATGCCATTGCATGTCAAGGGGCAATGGTTAGATTGTCACCTATTGGAGCTGGTCATTGGTAGGCATTTGTGTGGCGCGAATGTCGCTTGTCGCTTGTTGCTCTTCAGCCCAAGCCTGGATATTGTCCCAGTTTTGCTGCATTTGGACACTGGAGAGGGTTTAGAAAAGATTTACCAGGATGTTGTTGAGAATGGAAAGCTTGAGTTATAAGGATAGGCTGGGACATTTTTTACTGGGGTGTAGGAGGTTGAAGGGTGACCTAAGAGAGGTTTATAAAATCATGAGGGGCATTGATAAGGTGAATAGCAAGGGTGTTTTCCCTAAGGTGCTGAGGGGCATAGTCTTAAGGTGAGAGGAGAAGGTTTTAAAAAGGGCATGAGGGGCAACTTTTTAACACAGAGTCGTCCATGTGTGGCATGAACTGCCAGAGGAAGTGGTGGATGCAGGCACAGTTACAGTGTTTAAAAGAAATTTGATAAGTACATGAATAAGAATGTTTGGAGGGATATGGGCCAAACTCAGGCAGGAGCGACTAGTTTAGTTTAGAACATGGTCAGCATGGACTAGTAGGACCATAAGGTCTCTTTCTATGCTGTATGACTCTACGACTGCTTCAGTAACTAAGGATTCACAAATGGTACTGAACATCAGATATGTTGAGGATCTATGATGCGATTGTGGTGCATTAGGGTTGAATTGGAATCTGAGCTGCTCAGATAACATGAATTTTACTTGAGGCCTGGAGCTATGGGTAGTGATGTTCTCTTAGTGATGTTCAAGATATTCTCTTGAATATGTCTTCGTGATTTCATTCATTATTGCTCCCCTTACACTACAAGTATACGTTCTGAGGTCCTAAAATATTAGTCAAGGCATTCAAGCTATTTCTATTGAGATCACCTTTGCTCAGTGCTGTGGATTTCCATTTGTATTTCATGGAAAGGATTAAGCAGTCAGAACACAAAGCCATTATTTTGTACTTATCTATTTTCTGTAATTATCAATTACAAATCCAATACACAGTGAAAATATTACACCCAGTCTGACAATAATTATAAACAGACTGCACAATGCCTTATTGTCTGAGAATCAGCAGGTATAATAGGCAGCACCTACCTCACAGATTTTGTCTAATGATGGAACAAAGTAGTCATCGCAGACAATTGCCAGAGCGTAGAACATGTACATGGTCTGTGGGAGAAAGAAAGAGGTTGAAAAGGATTGTTTAAACCCACATTTGTTGTATCTTCCACTGAAACAACAACATTGTACAGATAGTTATGTAAGAGCATGGGCATGGCTCCAGACTGAATCTCTTCTGAGCAGAATAATTTGTTCTTTAATCACGCTTAGCTGCTAGAAAGCAGTTTGCTATCAGATGTCATTAGTTATTGCATTTCCATCATTCAAAATGGAAAATTTTCCCTCGAAGTGTAAGTGACAGCTGCAATTCATATACAATGAATTTTGGTGGAACAGATTCGATGGCTTTAGTCTATGACTCTACAAGCTTGCACTTAAGGAGAGATGATAGTATAATGGTAATGTTACTGGATGAACAGGCTCTGGGTTCAAACCTTACCACTGCAAACTTGGTGGAGTTTACACACAATTAATCAACAAAGATATCGAAGTTGAAGCTAGTCTCAGTATTGAGGAGCATGAAGCTATCTTCCATTGTTGCAAAAACTCATGTGGTTCACTACTCCTTGGGCAATATAAACCTGGCATTATCTGGTTAGGCCTACAAGTCAATCTGCAAGTACAGCAATGTGCTTGTCTCTTAATTGCTCTCTGAAATGGCAGAGAAATCAATTATGGATGGGCAACAAATGGTAACTAGCAACACCTTAATAAGATAGACCATTACTGCAAGTACAGAACACGTACATTTTGAGGTATATGACCTCACGCTGAAAGCATTCACAATACCGCATGGAACTGACCCAACAAAATGTCATCACATTAAACTCACCTTGTTTCCACAACCCTAAGTATTCTTGCCTAACAAAAAGCCAGCAATCTTGGTTTTAATACTTCGTTGACCCCTGACTTCAGCTTTCCTTTGTTGACCCTTGACGTCAGCTTCTCTCTGAGGCAGAATTCCACATTTCCACTGCCTTGCTGTGAGGTATTGCTCCCTGCCACTCAGCCCCCAAACACCTTGGCTCCAAGACAAATGTTGAAGTTCAGCTACTCAAACTCTCATGTGGATAACCCAGTCCTAGATCATAAGGTCAAACAGACAGACATTACATTAAACATAGGTCCAAGCCTGAGACTCCAAATTAACCCAGAATTTTGGGTTCAGCCTTTAACTTTTTTAAGTCAGTTAATTACTGTTATTGCTTCTCAGCACTTAGAGTCATAGAGTTGTACAGCATGGAAACAGACCCTTCAGTCCAACTTGTCCATGTCAACCAGATATCCTAAATTAATCTAATCTCATTTGCCAACATTTGGCCCATATTCCTCTAAACCCTTCCTATTCATATACCTATCCAGATACCTTTTAAATGTTGTAATTGTACCAGCCTCCACCACTTCCTCTGGCAGCTCATTCCATACACGCACCACCCTCTGTGTGAAAAAGTTGCCCCTTAGGTCCCTTTTAAATCTTTCCCCTCTCACTATAAACCTATGCCTTCTAGTTTTGGACTCCCCTACCCTGAGGAAAAGACCTTGGCTATTCACCCTATCTATGCCCCTCATGAGTTTATAAACTTCTATAAGGTCATCCCTTAAAGTTGCCTGTTTTCATTTTGACAAGAACTATTGTCGTGAGTGAGAATTTACTGCGGTTAGACACCATTGTGATAGGATGGTGTGTGGCCTGTTTCACAGCACAAGAAGAAACATTTGTGGCATAGGATATATTTCTGCTGCTCTGGTGAGGATTAACCTCGCTGAAACATTGAAAAATCAATCATGCTTCACCCTAATTAAAATCAACGGCATTTACAAATTTATTAATACCATCCTGATCATTTAGGCTGAAGAGTAATGGTGCTGGTGGGCCTTGGCAATGTTTGTACATTTGTATAGCTGTCTGTCCTTGGGTGTAGTGCAGTACAGTATAATTTATGGAGTTGCATGAAGAAATCAATGCGGAGATTTGGGGAGAAAGAAAATAGAATGAAAATAAGTTCCAGCCTCTTAATTTTTCATCGCCACATAGATACAATCAGTGAGGGAAGGGCCAAGAATTTTCTTTTAAATGTATTGACAATCGAAATAGCTCAGATAAGAGTTGTGGGCTTTAATAATTAGGGAGTTATATAAGACACTAGCTCAATAAAAATCTACTGAGACTCCAAAATACCTAAAGTAATGACCCAGTTCCATACCCAGTTCAAAACCGGTCTGCCATTTAATCTGGGATATCTTCACATTGCATTGGACATTGTTCCATCTTGAATTCAGAAAACTGCTTTATCACAAGTGATCTGATTAAGTAGCCAGTGAAATATAGACAACAAGGTATACAGCTGGATGAACACAGCTTTTTTTTCTGAAGAAGGGTCCAGACCCGAAATGTCAGCTTTCCTGCTCCTCTGATGCTGCTTGGCCTGCTGTGTTCATCCAGCTCTACACCTTGTTATCTCAGATTCTCCAGCATCGGCAGTTCCTACTATCAGTGAAATATAGGTCAGTTTTAACTACATTCCCATTTTATTGCCTGTGGCCTTGAAATCCTCGGATCAGATTTTATTTCCCTCACCTGTTCATTAGTCTAGCTCATATTTGCTACATCTGGCCAGCATCACTATAACACAGCCTGATCCTGAATGAGATTGTTGACATATCAATGCTCCATTCGCAAGACCGAACGATCACATGAAGGCTCCAATGTTTAAAGTTTTTGGAGAAGATTTGTAGCTCAGGTTGAGGATGAGGTTGTAGACTTGCTCGCTGAGCCAGTGTGTTTGGTCGCAAATGTTTCGTCACCCTGCTGGGTAATGTCATCAGAGCGCATCCGGTGAAGCGTTGGTGTTCTGTCCCACTTGATATTTATATACCTCGATTTGCTGGGGTGGTTGGCGTCACTTTCGGTTCTGTTTCTCAGTGGTTTGTATATCAGGTCCAGTTCAATGTGTTTGTTGATGGAGTTCCGGTTGGAATGCCAGGCCTCCAGGAATTCCCTGGCTTGTCTCTGTTTGGCTTGTGCTATTATGGATGTGTTGTCCCAGTCAAATTCATGTCCTCCTTTGTCCATGTGTATTGAGACCAGTGAGAATTGGTCATGTCTCTTGGTGGCTCGTTGGTGTTACCTCCACGATAGACCACAACAAGAAGGCACAACACGGCCAGACACACTAGTCACCCTACCTATATCAGAGTTATATCAGAGATGACCACAAAACTACTCAGACCCTAGGTATCAGGGTAGCCCACAACCCAACAACCACCCTGCGACAGCTACTGACGAACGTAAAGGACCCCATACCCACAACCAATAAAACTAACATAATATACAAAATACCATTCAAGGACTGTGAAAAACATTACATAGGCCAAACTGGAAGAAAACTGACAATAAGGATACACGAACACCAACGAGCCACCAAGAGACACGACCAGTTCTCACTGGTCTCAATACACACTGACAAAGAAGGACACACATTTGACTGGGACAACACATCCATAATAGCACAAGCCAAACAGAGACAAGCCAGGGAATTCCTGGAGGCCTGGCATTCCAACTGGAACTCCATTAACAAACACATTGAACTGGACCTGATATACAAACCACTGAGAAACAGAACTGGAAGTAATGCCAACCATCCCAGCAAACTGAGGCATTTAAATAATAAGTGGGACAGAACACCAATGCTTCACCGGATGTGCACTGACGGTGTTAACTAGCAGGGTGATGAAGTGTTTGCAACCAAACCCACCGGCTCGGCAAGCAAGTCTATACCTTCAAGGCTCCAATGTATATAATTGGTTCATAGTATTTGTATAAGTATTAATGCTAATCTGAGTTTCTATAATGCTAATTTATATGTTTCTACATGTATATGCCTGACTGTTCTTGAGTGTAGTGCCACATATGCTTGCCACATAGTCTTTATAAAGCTTTAATTTGTTATCTATGTGATGTTTATTACAATTTAAGAGTGCAGGAGGGCATGCCAAGAGCAGTACCAAGCGCACCTAAAAATGAGGGGTCAAGTGATAGATCTAAGCAATCCCACACCAACCAAGCTCTGCAGTCCTTCCACATCCAGTCATGTATGGTGGAGGACAAATAAACACTGGAGGAGGAGGCCCCATAAGGATCCCCATCCCCAATGACAAGGGAGTCAGCACTTCAGTGCAAAATATAAGGCTGAAGTATTTACAACAATCTTCAGCCTGAATTGTCAAGCGGATGATCCATCTCCTCTGCCTCTACAGATCCCAGATGCCAGACAGTTCAATTCACTCCACTTGACATCAAAAAACGGTGGGAGGCACTGGATAGTGCAAAGGCTATGGGCTCTGACAACATGCCAGGCATGTGCTCCAGAACTTGCCGCTCCCCTAGGCAAGCTGTTCCAGTACAGTTACAACATTGGTATCTACCCGACAATGTGGAAAATTGCCCAGGTATGTCCTGTACACAAAAAGCAGGACAAATCCAACCCGGCCAATTATTGCGCTAGCTGTCTACTCTCGATCATCAGTAAAGTGATGGAAGGTGTCATCAATAGTGCTATCAAGCGGCACCTGCTCAGCAATAACCAGCTCAATGACACCCAGTTTGGGTTCCATCACGGCCACTCAGCTCCTGATCTCATTCCAGCCTTGGTTCAAACATGGACAAAACAGCTGAATTCCAAACGTGAGGTGAGAGTGACTGGACTTGATATCAAGGTCACATTTGACAACGTGAGGCATCAAGAAGCCCAAAAAAATTGACGTTGATGGGAATCGGGGAGAAAGCTCTCCATTGGCTGGAGCCATATCTGGAACATAGAAAGACGGTCGTGGTTGTTGGAGATCAGTCATCTCAGCTCCAGGACATCTCTGCAGGGCTTTCTCAGGGTAGTGTCCTAATCCTTACCATCTTTAGCTGCTTCACTTTCTCTCCGTCATGAGGTCGGAAGCGGGGATGTTTGCTGATGATTGCACAATGTTCAGCACCATTCATGATCCCTCAGGTACTGACGCAGTCCATGTCCAAATGCAACAAGACTTAACCAATA